TAAAAGCATTATAATATTCTATATAAAATCATTATAATATTCTATATGAAAGCATTTTTTACATTAATAAATATATTCAATATATTTTTAAAGGATGGGTTTAATTGCGTGCACTTTGGTATTCCGTCGAGTGCTAATATTGAATATATTTTTACTTTATCGGTTACGACATTTACACCACGTAGCCATCAACAGCTGATGTGATATGCGATAACTACAACCTTTGTCATCTTATAAGTACTTGTCATATTAAAAGTACTTCAAATTATGCTACTTCGCTACTACTGAAGCATAAGGAAGATTTAAGTGAAAGTTTCAGATAATTAATTAAATAGTTAATATTGTATTAATAAAAGGTATGAAAATATTTTCATCCGTATTAACGCTGGATATATCAGCTAGTGATGAATAAAATCAACCTTCTGTAGCTGGCCAATCTTTGGCGAGATTGGATCTAATTCGATTTTGCATTTGAGACCTTCTCTTCAACTGTTCACCCTATGAATAAAGGAATCTGATTATCAGGTTTCATTATTATTATTCTCATTTTTCGATGCGTGAAAATTCATAATAAAAATATTAAAACTAATTTAATTTCTATTAATAATTTAATATTAAAAATAATTATTAAGTTTAGTTTAGTTTTCATTGAAAAATAAGTTAGATATCGATTCCATACTCTTACATTATTAATGCCTGAATTGTGATGTTTATAAGTAAGGGCTAAACCTGCAGTGTCTGGAACTTTAGACTTGCATGTGACCAAGAGTTACAAATTATTTTCATTAAAATATTTACACATTATTTATAGAAACAATATTTACAATTTATCTCTATAAATCGTTAGGTTATACTGTAATCCTCAGAACGTTATATTCTTTTTGAGGTTTAATCCCCCGCTTTTATTTTTACATAATTTGCCTAATACATGATGAAATTAATGATAAACACAAAAATATCGGGGATCAGGGTGGTATTTTTGTGTTTAAAACCGGTTTAGTCATGTTGAAAATATCCTGCATTTGGGCAAGGCCCTAAAATTCAGGCTCAACCAAAATTTATATCGTGAGCTTTATTGTGCACGCCAAAACAGTGAGGAATTTGAATGTAAGCACTAAATTTATTTTTCTCATATTAATTGTAATTTTATGTCAGAGATATTACTCATGCCTTCCAAATTTTTCCTATAAATCTTTAATATGGTTTAAAACACACAGAAATTCATCTGTATGACTGCTATCTAAATCGAAAAAAGTAACTCATAAATAATTTTAACCAATAGATTTCTAAGAAATTATTCTAGAATTTGACACATGCTTCTTACCAATCAAAAATTCTAAAGAAAGAAATTTTCAATATCCACATTTTTAACCCTCATTCATGTCATCCATCTCTTACCAAGAAGCATTCTATCTTCAGAAGAAAGTAGCTGTCAGGCGGATGCTGTAACCAATTTTACTGAAATTTTATACCCCTTTCTTTCATTTCTTTCGACAAATTTGGTGTGATTTAGAACAGTAATAGCTCAATTGCCCGGACCTCTATTAACGCAGGTTTCTATTAACAGAGCCTGTACCAGAAAATCGAACTGCTTTTTTAAAGCTTTTACTAAGTTCGAATTGTTTCATGTTTGTATGTAAGGTTCGAATTTTGAGATCGATTTTTCACTCACTTCTTAATACACTAGAGTTCTCAAATTTTGTAAATTTTTTGGGTCTTGAGGACAATGCAATATTTTAATAATTTTAGAGCTCTCAATTACCAATTTAAAAAAAAATCGCAAAATTACCTTTGCACTCGGGCGGTTCCAGTGGCGCCATCTATAGTATTTTTGAGAACTATTGGTAAAAGCGTTTTTTAAATTTTTTTACACATCTCTTGTTATTCTTTTTTAATTCATTCAACGAACTTCTCAGTAAAGGCTGTCAAACTTGGCATCTGAGCCTATTTTCATGATCCTTATAAAAAGTAATTATCAGGACATGAATTTTCACAACTCAAGAAGTTACTTAGAGGGGGAAAATGAATTAAAACACATTTTCACACACACACACACACACATTTTTAAGGACTTCAATAGCGATGTGAGCGAATTCCATTCATGAAGAAATAGTATTATAAATGTTCCTGAAAGCTTCGCGCTGTTCAGCAGGGAAAATATTCTTTTCACACCTTTGAAGAATCACTGGGAAAATGCAAAGGAAGCAGCGAAAAATAAGTAAGATTCGCGAATCCTCATATCAAAACCGATTAACTTTTATAAAAAGCATGTTTGATAACAAATAAAAGAAATTTTAAAAATGTTAACACGTGGTAGCACTTGCCGACGTATTTTTATAAATACATATAAACAATTTTGGTAAATTTTGTAGAAAGAAGAGAAGTGACGATTTAGAATTTAGTCTCTCTTAACCGAGTTTTCAATTATCCGAGGTGATAATGGTCCCAATCAACTCGGATAATTGAGGTTCTACTATACTTTTCTTTAACTCTTTAATCCCGAGTCGACTTTTTTCTTCTATCTCCTTTCAAACAGGGCCTTTTTGGGAGGATAAGACATGAATTGGATTCTTCCAGCCTGGATGGTCATTTACCCCACCCCTGTTATAACCTTCCCTTAAGCGCACGGAAATGGGCTGTGGTTGGCAGGGATAATTGGATCCCCACCTCACTTATCTCCAAAGCTATCGCAGAATCTCACATTTCCTCAAAAGAAGCCAACCGCCTCAAACCGACCTTTGTCGCTGTTAAGGGGAAATTTTTAGACCGCCCCGGACCGTGAGAGGGTTAATACTCCTTCCGTCCAATTTTAAGCCGGTAATTCACGAGCGCTAGACTCCAATCAAATGGCGTCGTCACACTCCACATTATTCCATTTTTTAGTCCATCCATTTAGGCAGGTCAGTCACGGACGCCCCATGCAATGAAAATCCATCAGCTATGGGTCACTGCAATCCCTGCTGCAACTATTTCTCTCCCCTCTCCGCCTTCAAAACGCGGACCCCCGCATACTCCAATTTCCTCTAGAGCGAGATAGCCTCTCCCCCCGTATCTACACCGGTCGCATTTCATCATTTATGGCCGGGAAGTCCAAATGGAGTGATTGGATATCCAGATTGATTGGGTATCCAAACTTCCGAGCACACCTCTCTAATTCTCGTCGGTTTGTCGCACTGATGACCGGTTTTATGTGCAGTGGTCGAATTTGCTTGGAGTGGAGAGCAAATGAATGTCTAGTTATTTTAGAGATGTCAAGTTTAGGGCAAAACTTGGTTTAGACAGTTGACCATGTATTTCTTAACGTATGTATGTGCAACAGCCACGTCTCCTAATTGAAAATGGTAAGCTAGGACGCCATACTCGATTTTGTTTTCTCGTTTCTCGAACAAGTTTATTTACAAGCACGAAAGTATTTGCAATGATGGTTTTTGTTTATAGTTTATATAACAATTTTTTAAAAAAATCTCATCATGCAGTGCATGGTAGAAACGATGGAAATAATCGTCATCGCTTGTCTCATATAGCAAAAGACAGTTTGGAAAGAAATGGCCAACTGCCTTCAGCAATATTTTGTTATTTAGACGCAATCAAAAGACGCAACATACCGCCGGTACATTTAATTATTAAATGTCAAGTTTCAAGACCAATGAACTTAATTTTTTTATATTTTCAAACTTTTCGAAATAAATAATGACGGATTTTTAATTTTTTTTTGAAAATCGGACTTTAAATTTTGGACAAGAAAAATAGCAAATTGGAGAACTAACTTTATACAGAAGGAGTATAGGAGAAAGTTAAACAAGGCTGTTGTTTATAGCTTTCGATGTGTATGATTACCTATAACAATGCTTCAGATTTTTTTAAATCGTTTTCAATTTTTTTACAGCAAAAAGATAAAAAAGTGACATTAAATAGACCCCCCTGACTTAACGAGACAAAAAAAAAATCCCTTTCTTATCCAGTAAGCTATTAACGATGTTAGAGGAAGATAACTTTCAGGGGGTGGTCATTCTTTTTATTTTTCTGTTTGAACTCTGTTAAAGAAGTGGGTTATTCCTTTATGAAATTAATGCAAACAAGCCTCAAGTTTTGCAACATTGCATGTAGCGATGCAATCATTTAAAAACCAGTATAATGATGACGAACTTTTAAATATCTGTTTAGAGGAAGTGCATTTCGAAAGAAGAGTATTCGTTTCAAAACAGATAGCTGAGCTCGGAAAATCCCTATTACTGAAATACTTATCAGATATGTATTTCTTTATTTTCACCAGTATCTGCGTCAGCATTTCTTACATTAAACTGCATCTAACTCGTTAAAAATATTTCATTAATATTTGACTTTCAAATAAATTTTTAACCGCTTTCAGCTTTTGATGAAGAACGATAATTTTTTTATCATAATCTAATTCAGAAATAAGTTTTATATCGTTGAGGAAATCAATAAATTGAAAGCTCAAATAATAAATAAGATATTTCAATTTTTTTTCTTCTTATCAATCACCAATATTTTTTCAAGAAATTTCTTTTAAATCATAAATAGAGATAAGGTTTATTTTCTTCATTGTTTCAGATAACGGAACACTTAGGCCCCACCTAGCTTTTTACTATGATATTTCAGCATGATTTGATTTATAATTTTTATAGTTCTGTTAAACTATTCCGCCAACGGCCATACCATGCTGAAAGCACCGGTTCTCGTCTGATTACAGCAGTTAAGCAGCATAAGGCGCGGTCAGTACTTGGGAGGGAGGACACCGCGTGCTGTTGGCATCTTTTTAGCTCCGAGTTCGGGGGTATGCTATGGTGTTATGCTAAACCATTCCTCTCTGATTACAAATTACATTTAACAAGATCTAATCTATAAAGCGAGATGGATAAGTCTTTACTTTCATTTAAAAATAATAGAAATTCCCTATTTATTCCCCATTTAGAAGATCCCTTATTTTTTATTTAATTGATTAACGGTTTTGGCGGAAGATACGATTTTGCAGGTTAAGGTTTTGTTTGATGCTATTCACGGATTTACGACAGCTAATTGGTAATGATCATTCTAAGGCGTGGCCAGATGGTGAGAAGAGTAATTAACCTAAGACCTCACTCGCTAATACTCCACACCACTTAAAGGTGATAGGACCAACAGCCAGAAAAGTACACCGGATATTTGGTGGTTTAGGATTAGTTTATATTAATGTTTTGAAGCAACACGAGGGCTATTTTGGGACGGACCTCGTAATTTTGAACCTTGGTCAGGTGACGAGGACGACACCTGAGCCAGCACCTCCTCTCCAATCTTCTACACCACACCAACGGTAGGGCGTTTGGCCACTACGTATGATTTAGCGTGCAACAGGTCCCATACACGGCGGATCTTCAGTGTAATAGGGTATCGAACCTGGAGCCTTCCGGCCCCAAAGCCGAGACCTTGCCACTAGGCCACCGCGGCCTGGATATTTGGTGGAATCGAGATTCAAAGGGTCTATTTCTGCACTTAGAAATCTAGAACTTTATTTCCCCTTCCTTCTTAGCCAGAAAAGAATAAGTCTTGTTGATGCACTTTTTACCTAACTTATTATAATATGTTCATAATGGTTAAGTATGAATTTCTGAGTCAGATTCTATGCTAGTTTATAGTAATTAGTATTTTAGTTTTTGAAAACACTACGCGCTTACTCTATACACTTTTTATGCAGGCGAGTTATAATTAAAGTTCACCTATTCCGAAGGCCCTAGAGCAGGTTCTACGGCTCGAAAAGAAAAAAAAAATTAACTAGTATATGCTACAAGTGATGCTCTCTGTGGAAACAAATAAACCTACAAAAAGTTAAAACTTTGGCAATGAGTGCTACTGCGCCAATATCTCAGGTGATTTTTGCAGATATTTTGTTAAATGAATAAAAGAAAATTCATACCATCTATATATTTAAAATAGCTTGGTAAAAAACCTTCACCTAGTCCGCCAGCCTCAACCATTCGACCGATTTCGACATTTTTTTTTTTTTGAAAGGCTATGACGTCAAAATATTACATAATGGGGCGCCAGCCCCCCCCCCTTTTTTGAAAGAAATAGAAAAAACACTTCTCCACCATACATTCTCTATATGTTTTTTCGATTTCGCTCGAAAATATGGGTTAGCGGGGGGGGGGGGAGAAGACGACCTTTGATGACAGATCTAGACGTCATAACCTTTCAAATGAAAAAAATGTCGAAATCGGTCTGGTGGTTGGGCCTGACGAATCTCTGAGGTTTTTACTATATTATTTTAAATATATAGATCCCAACAGTTCCATCACAATGGCGTGTCAAAAATATTCTAAAATACCTATTGTAGGTGATAGAAACTGTTTAATTAGGGCGATTTCATGAAGACTTTTATGCCGAAATTCGTGAGAAATTTATACAAAACATTACAACTAGATGAGGTTTATTGAAAAATTTTACAATTTTAAAGGAATCTGTTGTCTACAAAGAATATGAAATCTACTATGGCTTTATGGTCTGTTCCACTGATCTTCATGCCGAACTGAAAAAAGTAGTGACTGACAGCCTCGAAGCAGCGAGGTGGCAGGGGTAGTCCTGAGCAAAGTGGCCGCGAACTCGCCCAGACGGCAGCGAAAGCGTCTAGTTGTTGTTAAAATTAAATTTGCTAATTCAGATAGCTCTAGAAATAAATCATAGATGACAAAAATATTCAGATAGCTTGAAGAAATTTTAACTTTTTTTTCCGTTTACACTGAGCGTATCACTTGTACAACATTCTAGTGAAATTTTGTTTAGTTTGGAGTCATAGAATTGGCTCTAGAGCCTTCTGAATAGGCGAATTTCAATTTCAACAACATTGCATTTTTATGAAATATATGACAAGAATCTGAAATGAGCATTCAACGCTTCTTCAATCTATCACACCAGTGGCGAATCCAGGATTTAGGTCGGGGGGGGGGGCGGGGGATAAAAAAATTTTATATCGTCGTGACGAATGTCAAACCTTATGGCTTATGTAAACCAAAACACTTTACAGACTTGACTCACCTGACAATAAGAATCATAAAGAACTCTACAATATTTTCGTTAATTTAATAAAAACCACAATGATATAACTAGCAAAAACATGTTTTTGACCGCGTCAATGTTACAAATACAAGTGGAATTAATACAAAAGTGGGAAAATTTTCGAGCCTGCCAAAAGCCAGAAAGAAATGTTGTGACTTTTTTAAAAGGGAGATTAAGAAAAAAAAACAGCTGTAGTGATTTTAAATAAAATAAAGAATTCTGGTCTTGCTCTGGGGGGGGGGGGGTCACCCCCAAAGCCCCCCCGGATTCGCCACTGTATCACACCCATTATGCTTGCAATCAATAAGTTTCTTCATTATTTCTCCCTAATACTACAAATCTTTACTTACCAACTACCCGTGGTTTTCATTTAATAAAGAGCTTCAATGAGTGATGATTCATCGGGTTTCAAAGGACTGTTTATTTACAAGTACACGACGTACAAAGACGGGTGATACATGAAAAGATACATACACTCACCAAGTTTCTGGTACACAATACAAATGTTCAATGTATGCGCCCTTGGTCACCCGGCGCACATCCCAACGGTAATCCCGTTCCCTCCAGACGTTCAATAGCATGTTTCCGTCAATGTCCGTCACAGCAGCAGTGATGCGTTCCTGCAGTGCTTGCAGCGTTGTTGGCAATGGGGGTGCATAAACTTTGTCCTTTACATAACCCCACAGGAAGAAATCACATGTCGTGAGATCTGGTGACCTGGGGAACCATGGCAACAGAGGAACATCATCCAGACCAGCGCGCCCTACCCAGCGATGAGGCAGTTCTCTGTTGAGAAAGTCGCCTGCCATCTGGCGAGCACGCGAGCCAGGAGGTGGGCTTTTAAACTTGGGGAGTGTATGTATCTTGACATGTATCACCCGTCTTTGTACGTCGTATACCTCTCAATACACAGTGTTTTGAAATCCGATGAATCATTTAGGCTGACCTTGTATTAAAAATCCGATTGATGATAATGACGAACGACGCGCTGTTTCGGAAACCACTTTCTTTGACAAACTTTAGTGTGGCATGAAAGATGAAGCCTCATGTGATTAAAAAAACATATTTCTGATATTGTATTTATTGTTATTTATTTTAACGAATTTAATTCGAAATCTTCGTGGATTAATTTCTAGAAAATAATGAAAGAGACTCTTTCCACTTTTTCCCCCTCTACATGCATCTTAATATAGGTCTTTGATTTCCTTCGAGGTGATTCTCTATGAAATCATCCCCATTAATTTAAACAGTTTCCCTTTCTCTGACCTTGAAATTCATTTATTACCATTGCGAATGCTACTCTAACCAAAAACTGAAGTGCAGGAAGACAGGTCGCAAAGTTTTTCCTTTTATGGGTTGAGTCGCAATTCGCGGGCATTTTTCAAATTTATTAAAAAAATAAAAAAAAAAATTCCTCTGGCCGTTTGACGAAGAAGTTGGTTCAATCGCTCTTCATTTTTTTTGCAAGTGCGAAAAACAGCACAAATTTCCCGAGTAGCCCTAAACACGTCGATAAAATGAAAAAAGCAAATGGCGTCGAAAATGTTCAGTTATGTCATTTTCACATTCTATTTTAGAGATATGAAAATACACAAAAATTAATAAAATTAAAAAAAAATCAAACATACTGTCTTTTAGAGCATTGAATTCTCTTTCAATTAGTGTAAAAAATTTTGCCAGTGCGCTTTATTTCTGCGTGCATTTTTAACTTTGAAAAAGAAAACGCGCATGAATTATCACTCAACCCAATAAAACACGGACAGAACACACAGGATGTCCACTCTAATTTTGGCCCTATATCTAATTTATAAACCATTTAGAGAAGGCATTTTTTCCAATCGGAAAAATGCTCTAAATGAGACAAAAAATATAATTTACGTTGTTTGAGTCAAGGAATGTACTTCTGAAAAAATTACGAAGTGCAAATTTTCATACAGTCCCCTCCGGTTTTATTAGTCGTATTTAGTAAAATATTCTTTACGCAAAAACATTTTAAACTAAAAGGTTCCACTCTTCTGTGATTAAAACTGACCGAGCTATGAAGCTTTGAGTTTCATTATTTTCGACCAATTAATCGCCCCGAGAAAACCCCGTGAATTTATTTGCGGATCTTCCTCGAGGCGACCATTTCAATGGTCGAAATTCGTCTAAAATAGTGATGTTCAAAGCTTTTGGCGAGTTCTTTGGAATTATAAGTGGCTAATATTATTTAATAAGTCTGTTAAATGTTAATTTTATAAATTTTAAATCATTAATTTCAAAAGACAATTTTACGCAATTAATATCAATTTATAAAGTTAGTATCGTGTACATACACTCTGTCCCAAAAGTTTATAGAATCTTGTATTTTGCCTATATTTTTTCTTGTATATGATATATTTCGATGTAACTTACTGTATAGCTATGTTATGTCTATTAAATTGAAAAAACAACAGTTCTACCCCGTATATTTGATGCCAATTTTTAAATCGTAGAATAAACTGAAATAACATGTCCCAAAAGTTTATAGACAAATGCAATTTTATGCAAATATGGTATCGGTAATCATGGTGTCGATTCGGAGCCTAATAAATACGTTGTAAGAAAAGGAAAGCGGTCGTTTGTTCTGCGTTTCAAGATGCCTAAAGCGTAGCAGCTCTCTAATGAAGAAGTGAGTAAAATTCTGCATTTGAAATTGCTCTGTAAGACTGTTAAGGAAATAATGA